GTGTGTTCTCTCTCTCAAATAAATAAAAATCTTTTAAAAAACGGAAATTAAGTGTTGGCAAGGATGTGGAGAAATGGGAACCCTGGTGCATTGTTGGTGGAGAAATCAGCAGTTGTGGGAAAAAGTAGAGAGGTTCCTCAAAAAAATTAAAAACAAATACCATATGATGCAGCAATTTCACTTCTGGGTATATATCTAAAAAGAATGAAAGCAGGAACATGAACAGATGTACACCAATGTTCATAGTAGCATTATTTACAAGAACCCATAAGTGGAAACAGCTCCAGTGTTTACCAACAGATGAATGGATAAAATGTGATGTACACATATACAATGGACTAAAGGAATGAAGTTCTGATACATGCCATAACATGGATGGATAACCTTGAAATCATCATGCTAAGTGAAATAAGAGGACAAATAGCGTACAATTCCACTTACATGAGATACCTAGACTACTCAAATCCATAGAGACAGAAAGCAGAACAGTGATTGCCAAGAGTTAGAGGTAGGGGGTGATGGGCAATCCTTTTTTTTAAGATTTTGTTTATTTATTCGTGAGAGACAGAGAGAGGCAGAGACAGAGGGAGAAGCAGGATCCTGCAGAGCAGGAAGCCTGATGTGGGGCTCGATCCCAGGACCCTGGGATCACACTTAACTGACTGAGCCATCCAGGCGCCCGATGGGCAGTTCTTGCTTAATGGGTACAGAGTTTCAGAATTTCAGTCTGAGACAATGAAAAGGTCCTGGAGATGGATACTGGTGTTTGTTGCATGGCAATGTAAATGTTTTTAATGCCATTGAATTGTACACTTAGAAATGGTTATAATGTAAATTTTATGTTATGCCAGTTTTTTTCACAATTTTTACAAAGAGCTTCCCCACCCCATCCTAACATGAGCATATCCTTCTTTGCATTCTTTAATGAAGTTGACAGAAAATTTTAAGAATTCATGATAGCCTTGTGTTCTAATCACTACACAGCTGGTGAAGGAGAGATTTCCCCAACCCAAATAACACAGGATGGTCGAACACAAAACACCTAACACTGGACAAATGAAAGTGCCAACAGTTTATTAGTCACATATACACACAGCCTAGGCCAAGACATCACATGCCACACAGGGTCACGCAGGTGTTGCACTCATGAGAAGGGGCTCTGGGGGAGGGGCGGTTTATACAATGAGAGTGTGAGGTGCCCCTCGTTGCCATGGAAGTATTGGCCTGGCTTGTATGAGTAATTTCACCAGCTGGCGGGGAACTGAGACCCGCCGATTAAGGACCAGGTGCAGTGCACGGTTCTGGCTGATAGGGGGAGCTAGCCAGGTAAGCAGCCTTTCTCCCTGGGGTGGGGAGCCTACCTGGCCCGAGCCGGGGACCTCCCAGTGTGGTCCTTGGGCCCCAGTGAGACTCAGAGATGTCAAGGTACCACTTGCAATCTCAGTCCTAACTGAAGAGGTGCCTGGGAAAAGCTGCTCAACATCACTGATGATCAGGGAAATGCAAATCTAAACCATAGTGAGATATTATGTCATCCCTGTTAAAATGGCTGTCAGCAAAAAAGATAACAAGTGCTGGCGAGGATGTAGAGATAAGGAAATCTTCGTACTGTCGATGGGAACGTAACTTGGTTCAACCACTATGGAAAACAGTATGGTGATTTTTCAAAAAATTAAAAATAGAATTACCATTATGATCAAGCAATCAATCCCCCACTTCTGGGTATATATCCACCGGAAATGAAAAACAGGAGCTCAAGGACACCTGAGTGGTTCAAGTCAGTTAAACTCTGCCTTTGGCTCAGGTCACGATGGCTCAGCAGGGAGCCTGCTTCTCCCTCTGCCTGCCACTCGCCCTGCTTGTGCTCTCTCTCTCTCTCTCTCTGACAAATAAATAAATACAATCTTAAAAAAGAAAAAAAGAAAAGAGCTCAAAAAGACATCTGCACTCCCATGTTCATTGCCGCATTATCCACAATAGCCAAGATATGGAAACAAGCTAGGTGTCTGTCAACAGATGAATGGATAAAGAAGAGGTGGTACACACACACACACACACACACACACACACACACACACACACACTGGACTATTATCCAGCCATGAGAAATATGAAATCCTTTTATTTGTAACAATGTGGATGGACCTTGAAGGCAGTATGCTAAATGAGATAAGTCAGAGAAAGGAAATCTGTATGATATCACATGTGGAATCTGAAAAAACCAAATTTGTGGAAACAGAGTAGAACTGTGGTGGCCAGGGGCTGGGGGCATGCGGTAACTGGAGGGATGTTGTTAAAGTGCACAAACCTACAGGTAGAAGATGAGTAAGTTGTGCGGATCTCATGCACGACATTGTGATTATAGATAACAATACTGTACTAGGTACTTGGAAGTTGCTAAGAGACTAGATCTTAAATGTTCTCACCACACACACACACAAAAGATGATAGTTATGAGATGTGGTGGAGGTGTTAGCTGACGCTATGGTTGAGATCCTCTTGCAATACGTAAGTGTATCAAATCAACACATTGTACACCTTAACCTTACACAATTATATCTCATTTTTTTAACTAGATGAATTTAGAAAAAGAAAATTCAGGCCTTACAACACAATTGACCCCTTGATATTTTGACCTTGAAGACAGGTCTTTTAGGGAGTAGAAGCACTGGGCTAAGAAGCAAAGTAGGCTTTGGACCAGGAGGGAGAACAAGAACAAGGCAATGGGGGGACCTGTGTGGCATTGGTGTAGGGAGCCCAGGTCCCAAGGGGAGTGTGAATTCAGATGAATTGGTGTCAGTGGGAATAACAACCCCACTGTGGGGGATCCATTTGCCGCTTTGTAACATAAATAACTCTAAAGAGGAAAATAAGTAAAATATTATTTTATTAATAAAATAGAATAATTCATAACCATAAAAAATTCATAATTATGGTGACTGAATTAAATTGAGGAGTGTTTACTTTATTAGACTGAACAAAATTAAACTGCAAACATTTGACCTCTTTTGACTTAGAGGAATGGTAATTTCATGTGGCTCAAACTAAAATAAAGTTTGTGAAAGAAGCAGAAGGCTATAGTTTATTATAAGACATTTATTTATATTTGAAAAGTGAGCCTTTTTAAATACTCAATAATGATAGTGTGCAGGAGTGTTGTGTCCCTTAAGGCGTAAACATATAATAGGACCTGGGTTATTCTCTAACATGTAGCCCTGTTGACATTCATTATAGCCAGGATCATTGTCAGGACTTTTCCTTTCTATTCATGTATTTCCATTTGCTCCCTCACTTCATCCCTGCCTTGGGCTAGCATTCCATCCTAATGACACCTTGCCCAGTTACCCCATGTAAAGTCACCCCGATCTCTTTAATCTCTTCACTTCTATTTGGTTGTCTTCAGAACTGATATTTTGTTCAATTATTGAGTTCCTTTTTGTGGATCTGTCTTTAGCCCTGGACCCTGAGCTGCTTATGTGGAAGCCAGTCAGTTTCACAAGTTGATATTGCCTCTGTGATTTAATGCCATTTTCCCTGAGAAAAAGGTATAACTTCTGATGACATCCAATGTGTTTCAGAGTGTTTAAAAATGACAGACATAGGGGCACCTGGGTGGCTTAGTCGGTTTAGTGTCCAACACTTGATTTCGGCTCAGGTCATGATATTAGGGTCATGAGATCAAGCCCTGAGTTGGGCTCCACCCTGGCTGTGGAGCCTGCTTAGGATTCTCTCTCTCCTTCTGCCCCCTCCCCCTCCAAATGACAGACATTTGGGACACGAACAACCTATATGGTGAACTTACAAGGCAAAGGGTGTGGCCAACAAACAGCTGCTCCACCAAAAAAACCTGTAGCTAACAAAGTGGAGGGACATTTTTGGAGAGCTGGAAACTAATTCCTACAAGGTTGAAAACATACTGCTGCTAGTAAGTAAAATCCTAAGTATTCCATATGCAAACACTTTGCTGAAAGTATATTTAACTTGATATCGTAACACTGGGCTAACACTAAAAATAGTGTAATGTAGGCTTAATAAGACCAGATCTTCAGGGGTGTTTGGGTGGCTCAGTCAGTTAAGCTACAGAGTCTTGGTTTCACCTCAGGTACCGATCTCAGGCTGGTGAGATGGAGCCCCAGCGACAGGCTCAAAGGGGAGTCTGCTTGAGATTCTCTTCCTCTCCCTCTGCCCCTTCCCTGCTAGTGCTCTCTCTCTCTCAAAATAAATAAATCTTAAAAAAAAAAAAAAAAGACGAGATCTGCAAGTCAAAGTGATTATTTGACTGTATTTAGTCTTACCACTACTTAAAAAAAAAAAAAAAGAGTGCTATAAAACCCACGGACAGTTCAGACAAGTATTATTGAAAAAGGAAAGAGTAAAAATATCCTAATGTATGATGAGACAGGAAGAAACATTTCTTTTAAATATATATATGTTTAATTAGTCCTACTGTATTTACATTCTCCTATCTTAAGAATACACAATAATATAGGGTACAAAATTTAAATATTTAGTAAGAACTTGCTGTGTCAGAGGATGGAAACATTTTTCTCACACCTGTTTGTCTTATTATTAATTGCCACTATTAGTTCTATTGATGTTCTATTTAATAGCATTTCTGTAATAAAAAAGTAAACAATCCAGAAAGAAATAATTTCAAACGCCTATTTTTCATATTTTTATGTTAAAATAATAACACAACTTAGAATATATTATTATTATGGTTTGGGGAGGTCTGGTACGGCAGTGTCCTGGGCTGGCTCTCTACTTTGGGCGTCAAGCGTCGGGCAATCGCGAACTCCTGAATCCTCATCTCTGCCTTCCCTGGGCGGGTCAGGTACTTCCTCGCCTCCCTTGAGCCCCGACGACCAGCCCATTAAACTCGCCCGGTCCTAGAGTTGGCAGAAACACGTCAGGCTGTCAGCTCGGCGAGAGCCTGCGCCTGCGTGATCTCAACACCCACGGGAACTCCCACAAGTCTCCCGGGCGCCGAGTGGGCGGTCCTTATGGGAGGTGGGCCGCATGCTTCCTACGGTTTTACCGCCCGAGACTGCATTTCCCACAGGCTACTGCGATGAGGCGAAATCAGCCTGGGACTACATTTCCCACAGGCCACCGGGGCAACCTGGCCCTCTGCCTTTTCCTCCCACTCTTTCGTGATTGTTGGCGCGGCTGCGGGCTCTGAGGCCTGTGAGGGAGGAGTCGACACCCAGCCTCACCGGGCGGGCGCTGCAGACTCCGACCCGCCCACAGGGCTGCGTGGACTTCTTTCTGTGAAGGAAAATAGTGAGTGCAGGGCGTTGCGGGGAGGGGGCTGGCCGGCGCTGCCCGCGTCCCCGGCGCGCGTGTGTGCGTGAGTAGCGGGGTGCCGGACGGTGAGGGCTCGGGCTCGGGCTGGGCGCCCGCGAAGGCTGCGCGGGAGCGGTGCCACCGTGAGCCGTGTTCTAGGTTCCTGCTGCCTCCTGCCCCTTTCCCCTCCCAGCCAGTGGTCTGCCCTAGACAGACGGTCCCCGGAGGGAGGTCGGTCACGGAGCCTTTGAATGAAAGCTTCCCAGCGGGAAGGCGGGGAACTGATCCGGAGACGGGAGTTTTAGAGCCTTCAGTTTCTCCAAGCAAAGCTCCCGAGGAGACTGGATGGGAAATTACCCCCTTTGTGTTCACTAACTTGTTTTACGAGCACATTTGTTTTCCTCTGCCCGAAGTACTCCACATAATTGTGACCTACTCTGTGTCTTCTTTCCAGTGGATGATGCGGTCCTTAGAGATGGATTCCCCCTCCCTGTGGCCCCTCATCCTCTCTTTTTACCCAATATTCTCATTAGCATTTTAGTTGTTATTTCTCACTACTGATTACAAATCATTTAAATCTTATTCTGTGATCCCTTTTCTAAGCATCCTGATAGTAGGTTATAGGAATACAGTTCCTGAAGTTTGCTCTCAGGGCTTTATTTTAGACTTCGATAGAGTAAAAAGATGAGTATTAGTATTTGGTTGGCAAACTAGATACTACCATACAAGACAACTCACCTTCTCCCAAGGCTTCATTGTCAAGTTCAGCAAGATAGGCATTGGTTTAATAATTTCAGTAGCATATAACAGTCGTCTTCCATGAGAAGCTTTTAGAAGTGGGAATGTGATTGTAGGTTTGAGTGTATTGGTAGGTCTGTGTCCTTAGTCATTTATTTTATTTTAATTTTTTAAAAAGATTATTTATTTGAGAGAGAAAGCGAGCACGCACGCACACAGAGGGAGAGGGAGAAGCAGACTCAAGCCTGATGCAGGGCTTGGTCCCAGGACCCTGGGATCATGACCTGAGCAGAGGCAGACACTTAACGGACTGAGCCACCCAGGGGCCCCTAATTTTACTTTTTAAATTTTGTTTTATTTGTTAGGCCTTGATTTGACAGCAGAATTTGTTTACACGTCATTGGACAGTGAGAGGCAGCGTGGTATGCTGCTGAAGAGTATGAGTTCTGAGTCTGAAATATCTGGCTTTGAATCTTGGCTTTGCCACTACTAGATATTTACAATCTACACACTCTGCACACTCTGTTTTCTAAATCTTTAAAATGGGTATAACAATAGTTCCTGCTTCATAGGGACATAATAAGGATAAGATGTATTAATATGTATAAAGTTCCTTAAAACAATGTCTGGAACATAATGAACACTCAGGAAGTATTAACTCTTCATCATTGGTGATTCTGGGTCATTCCTTTCAGAATTCAGTAGCAATAGAATAAGCTTAACTTGTTAAAAACAAATTCTTTTTTTTTTTTTTAACAAATCCTTTTTTTAAAAAAAATATTTTATTTAATTATTTGACAGAGACACAGCGAGAGAGGGAACACAAGCAGGGGGAGTGGGAGAGGGAGAAGTGGGCCTCCCGCTGAGCAGGGAGCCCTACGCGGGGCTCGATCCCAGGACCCTCAGGATCATGACCTGAGCTGAAGGCAGACGCCCAACCGACTGAGCCACCCAAGAGCCCCTTAAACAAATTCTTAAACTGAAGACTGATTAGGGCTTCCAGGTGACCACAAACCACTTATAATTGCATACAGAGTTGTAGTTTATATATGTGTATTTTTCTGGAGAGAAACATTGTGATTTATTCAATTAATAAAGGTGGTATATGCAATAAAAATATTTAAAACCGTTGGTGTGCAAGCAAAGATTTTGATAGCTGGGAATGATCTTGTACAAAATTAGAGTTCAATATTGTATAAATAGTTAAGTACCTCAGTCCATATTTATGTGATGGAATATTCTGCAACTAACAAAAATATGTTTATAAAGGATCAGTCACAAGAAGAAAAATGTGAAGTAGTTTTAAACTACGTGCACAGTTATGGACAGTAGTATTCAAGGAAATCTTAAATTATATATGAATCTCATTTACTATCATATGGTTTTGTGAGATATTTTTCAAGGACGGTACATATTTTAATTAGTGGAGAAGAGGGATTTGGCCACATTTATGGATCATTCCTTGTGTACCCAAGAGTGTTCTCTCTACTTTGCGTTCATACTCTCATTCAGTCTGCAGTGGCCACTTAACCTGAATTATGTCTTTCAGAGAAGAATAGATATAATTATGTTGATGAGATACAACTAAAAGATGTCCAAGTACTGCTTTTCCCTGATGATCCTATTTGATCTTGGTTTTATTAAAGTCTAGAATGTATCCACTGTGAATAACTGTTTAATTATAACTGTAAAATTATTGTAAAAGTCTTCATATTAAATTCTGAAGGTAGAATTAGGGCAGACTTGTCCTACCCCCCTCCCCCCCAAAAATCAGTAATCCAAAGAATTTATGAAAAAAGTTAACATTAAAAAAAAAAAAGTTACCCATAACTCTACCTATTAGACTGTGAAATAATAAATAATGTATTTATATTGGTTTCTACCCTTGGTGCCTGCTAATATTTGGTCTTTGACCAGGGTTCCTGACACGGAGCTCCTAAAATCCTTGTGATTTCCTGAGTAATAGGAGTGTTTGACACAGAGCTCCTAAATCTCTTAGAATTTCCTGGGTAATAGCAGTATCTTTTGTTCTAAAGAAGTGACTATTGGGTTCTTGAATGGGGCCTGGTCACTAGAAGGACCAAGCCATGTTTAGAAGCTTGAACCCTCAGGGGTGCCTGGGTGGCTCAGTTGGTTAAGCGACTGCCTTCGGCTCAGGTCATGATCCTAGCTTCCTGGGATCCAGCCCTGCATTAGGCTCCCTGCTCTGCAGGAAGCCTGCTTTTCCCTCTCACGCTGCTGCTCCCACTGCTTGTGCTCTCCTGCTCTCTCTCTCTGTCAAATAAAGAAAGAAAGAAAAAAAGAAACTTGAACCTTCAGCTCTAGCTCCCATTCTCAGGGCAGGGATAGGGGGAAGGGACTGGAAAATGAGTTAATAATTGATCAATCCTATATGATGAAACCTCCGTAAAAATCCCTAAAGTACAGGGTGTGGAGAACTTGCAGGTTGGTTAGCACATCCATGTGCCAGGAGCATGGCACATCCCATCTCCTCAGAGACAGAAGCTCCTACACTTGGAACCTTCCAGACCTCACCCTGTGTATTTCTTCATCTGGCTATTCACCTGTATACTTTATCATATCCCTTAATGTATAATAAACCGATAAACTTAGTGTTTTCCCTGAGTTCTCTGAGCTGTTCTAGCAAATTTTTGAACCTGAGGAGGGAGGTGTGGGAACCCCAATTTATGGCCAGTTGGTTAGAAGTACAGGTGACAACCTGGGACTTATGACTGGTTTCTGAAGTGGGGGCAGTCTTGGACTGAGCCCTTAACTTGTGGGATTTGATGCTAACTCCAGGTAGATAGTGTCAGAGCTCGGAGCTGAGTTGAATTGTAGGGCATCCAGCTGGTGTCAGAGAATTGTTGATGTGTTTAAAAAAAATACATAGTTGGTGTCAGAAGCACTGTGAGTGTGAGAGTAGAGGAAACCAATGCATGTGTCCTAAACACAGACATAATATTAATATTTTGGTGTGCATTTTCCTCCCCCCCATCCCAGTTTTTTGTTAGCAGATATATAGGGTTTTATTGTATCTGCAGAATAGAATCACGCTAATTGATTATGCAAAGTAGGAAAGACTCTTCAACTCTTAGACTAAAACAGGGAAACTATAGGACTCAATGTTCTTTGTGTGCAGCAGGAAGAAGAGGGAAGCACCAGTGATCCTCTTGTTTGAAAAACCTTGGGGCACCTGGGTGGCTCAGTTGGTTAAGCGACTGCCTTCGGCTCAGGTCATGATCCTGGAGTCCTGGGATCGAGTCCCGCATCGGGCTCCCTGCTTGGCAGGGAGTCTGCTTCTCCCTCTGACCCTCCTGCTCTCATGCTCTCTGTCTCTCATTCTCTCTCTCTCTCAAATAAATAAATAAAATCTTTAAAAAAAAAAAAAAAGAAAAAAGACAAACCTTATCGGTATTTACACGTTTTGGGATTATAGCAATGTCATATAAAAAATATAGGTGCAGGTGAAAGGACTTCCAAGGATCTGTTGTACAAATTACTCTTCCAGTGACAAATTTATATAAGAAAAGAGAGTAAGATGATAGCAGTTATGAACATGTACACCAATCTCCAAGTTGCATAGGAAGAACAGGATTCAACCTTTGTTAGTTATTTCAGTTTTGCATCTTGTAACAGAATGGTGCCTCTCTCTAATTTCTATAGAGAAAGAGGAAATTTAAAGATCAGAGAAATCTTTCCTGCTATTTTTTAAAAGAAAAGTTGCATTCTTAAGGTCAGGCTCTAAGTGTTTTCGTTAAAATTATAAGAAAACATGCCAGAGAGAAGTAAAAAATGGAAACAAATTATGTCCTTTATAAAAATGAAATGAGGGGCATGTCATGTTCTTCAATAATAATAATAGCTAACTTATGTTAAGCCAATTTTCTAGTAAGTGTTTTAAATGGATTTTCTTACTTATTCTTCAAGATAACCATATGTAGTAGTTGATATTCTTATCCCCATTTTAATGATGAGAAAACTGAGCTACTGAGGTGTTAGTAAATGCCTGATCAATGTCTTCTCTATTTTCTCTCTCTCATCTTGACGTTATCCTGAGCCCACAAAAGAAGTTCTGGTTTGGGTGGTATGGCTTCTTTTTCAGTTAGAATGTAGGAATGATTTTATTTAGGAATGGGCAGAAGCCCTGAATAAACACTTTTCCAAAGAAGACATACAGATAGCTGACAGACACATAAAAAGATGCTCAGTATTGCTCATCATCAGGGAAATGTAAATCAAAACCACAATGAGACACCCTCACACTGTTAGAATGGCTATTATAAAAAAGACAAGAAATAACAAGTGTTGGTGAGGATGTAGGGAAAAGGGAACCCTCATGCACTGTTGGTGGGAATGCAAACTGGTGCAGCCACTGTGGAAAATGGTATGGAGGTTCCTTAAAAAGGTAAAAATAGAACTACCCTACAATCCAGCAATTCCACTTTGGGTATTTACCCAAAGAAAACAAAAACATGAAATCAAAAAGATATCAGCACCCCTATGTTCATTGCAGCATTATTTACAATAGCTAAGATATGGAAGCATCCATCAGTAGATGAATGGATAAAGAAGATGTAGTACATGTATACATACAATGGAATATTATTCATCCATAAAAAAGAATAAAATTTTGCCATTTGTGACAACATGGAGAGACCTAGAGGGTATTATGCTAAGTAAAATAAGTCAGAGAAAGACAAATACCATTTGCTTTCACTTATATATGTTGAATATAAAAAACAAAACAAAACAGAAACAGACTCAAAAATACAGAGAACAAATGGGTGGTTGCCAGAGGGGAGGAGGGAGGGAGATGGGTGAAATAAGTGACAAGGATTAAAAGATACAAACCTCCCGTAAAATAAGTCAGTCACAGAGATATGTAGAATAGAGAATATAGTCAATAATAATAACTTTGTATGGTGGCAGGTGATAGATTTATTGGGGTGATAATTCCATAATGTGTATAAATGTCAAGTCACTGTGTTGTATACCTGAAACTGAAACTAATATATGTCAACTATACTTCAATAAAAAAAAATTCCAACCCAAAAAAAAGAGAATGTAGGAATGTAGGGAGGAGGATCTGTTCAAAGCAGAACTGTGCAGGCCAACATTCGATCTAGATCAGCCTCCCCAAAATGAAGTCCTGTCCAGAAAACCTGCTGACATGTCTAATTCTGGCTTCCGTGAAGAAGTGCTGTTGTTCTGCATCCAGCTGTGTGCATCTTGGTTCACTGGGGTTTGGATTTATCCAGAATCCCTCTGTTCTCCAAAATTTCATGTGAGGGTGGTTGTAACATCATTTGGAACCAAAATGCGGGGACAAGAAGGTTTATTGGCTGAAGTTACTGGGTACACTAAAGCCTCCTTTTCTTCTCTCAGCTCTGAATTTTCTAGAGTTTGAACTTCTCTGGTAGAGGAACCCCCCAGGAAGACTGATCGGTTCTTACATTTCTAGAAGCATGGCCCATGTAAGTTGCTTCTCTGTGAAATATTGGGATTTTTAGACTACATAGATATTTTCATTAAGCACCATCTCATTACCTGCTTGATTCCTCCTGTTTGAAACGGTGCCAAACAATTGCTTCTTCCTTATGAGGTCCCCTTTTCTAATTGGTGTTCATTAATTCATTGAGCAAATTACGGAAAAGATCACATGTGATAAATCTTTGCTGAAGGACTGTGGTGGAACAGTGAAGGTGTGAAGTCTCATGAATTATTTGAGCTCCCTGTGTCAGTCAGTGGTTTGGTGAGTTTGAGATATTGGCCTCATTTGACCGTACATCAGAAGATTTAACATTTTCCACAGACCTACTAAGATGGGATTTTGTACTGATTGGTCTCAGTCTTAATATGATGAGATCACATGCTCTGTGAGGCTTTTAGGAACACATTAGGGCCATGACTGTGACATGGAAACATTGATACCATCATTCTTGCCAGGTGATGCCTGAGAGTGACAGTAGGTCAATTTTGTGGTGGAACGGGACCTGCCAGACTTGGGTGACATTCGTTTGATTCTGAATCATAATCCGCTAACTGAAAAACAGCAAAAGTGTTGAGTGAGGAATGCTGCATGGCAATATGAGCTTATTATCGTAAGTCGTAGATTAACGTAGATTACCTGAATTGGGGAAATCAGAGACATTTGGTCAAATCTCATATAAATCTAAAATAATGACTAATTCTGATACATATTCACGAGAGGTACTTTTATGCCATCATGAAAATTTTTTTATTAATATAAGGAAAAATGTTTACGATATGATCTGACATAATAATCTTGAAGCTTGAGAAATTAACAAATTTGTGTAATATCTATTTTCTTTTTTTTTTTTAAGATTTTATTTATTTATTTGAGAGAGAGAGAATGAGAGAGAGCAAGCACATGAGAGGGGGGAGGGTCAGAGGGAGAAGCAGACTCCCTGCTGAGCAGGGAGCCCGATGCGGGACTCGATCCAGGGACTAAGGATTTTATGCTTAAAAAATGCCTATTTCTCTTAAAGGGAAAATAATGTAAAGATTACTATTTCTTGAGAATTTATTAGGTTAGGTACTGAGCAGGCAGTGTCTTTGTGTATGCTGTTTTATTTAACAGAGAAACTTGGATTATTTTATCAATTTCTCAACAGATCTGGAGTACTGTGGTATCCCACAGCATACAGAAAATTTTGACCGTAGCAACAGGGTTCTTCCAGAACATGCAGATATTCTGATTCATTTGCTTCTTATATGCTACGTTGAAACTTATTATCTCCTCTTCTTTCATCTTAAAACATTTTTTTTTTTTTTTAATTTCACCAGACATATGTGGGTTTGCAGTTTCAGGGATCAGTGACATTCAGGGATGTGGCCGTAGCCTTCTCTCAGCAGGAGTGGGGGAGTGAATCCTGCTCAGAGGCACTTGCACAGGGATGTGATGTTGGAGAACTATAGTAACTTGGTCTCACTGGGTAAGTTTACCTCTGTCAAATAAATTAGAATCTTCTCCCCAACATCGTACATTTTAGGGCTATCTTAAGAAGTGAACGTAATTTCTTCCCTCTGTCCCCAAAGAAATGGTTTGAGCTTTGTTAGGCTGGAAAGGATGAAATGGCAGGATTAGAACTCTGGGGTGTTTATTGCATAAACATTGACAAAGGCCAGATTTCTCATTATGTTTATGCTCAAAATTGCTATAAATGCACTATTACTATCTGACCCACCTGCAGTCAAAACAGCTAGACACAGGGTCCTGATTTGTTCTATCTGAAGAGCCTGTGCAACTTATACAGTGGGGGGCTGGATAAACAAATCATTTAAACCTGAAGGTACCTCACTTTCTTTCTTACAAAACAATTACCCTGATTTTGTGGTTAAAATTTATAATTCATGAACTTTGCATTTAAAATTAAATGAGTATCCTATAGATACATATGTTTCAAGAAACTTTTTGGTTTTTCTCTTAGAAAAATAACAGTAATAATGTTAGTAACTCACATTGTGCTTACTGTGTACCAGTCACTATCCTAAGCTCTTTACATGTTTGTATCTGATTTATATTAACTGATTTTTCTCCTCACAATCACCCTATGAGATAGGGATTATTGATAACCATTTCAGATGAGAATGTTGAAGACAGTTTAAGTGTGTTTCCCTAGGTCACACAGCTGGTAGGAGGCAGAAACAGGAATTTGAACCCATGCACTCTGGTACCAGAGTCTGTGTTCTCAATTACAAGGTCATGCTTTCTGTCAAGACATAGGAGAGAGAGAAAGAAAGAGAGAGAGAATAGATTTCACTTAAAATAAAACCTTTTGCCCATCTATTTGGATTCTTGAATCACCTTGCCTTTCCCTGAAGTACTTCTCAATGTCATTTTAGTCTATTCCAAGTTTAACCTAAGCTCAAAGTATTTTTTAATTCCTATTTTATTTCTTTTCTACATTGTATGGCATTCTTACCTTGTAAGCTGGACATTCCATTTCTAAACCACATCTGATTACTTTATTGGAACAATGGAAAGAGCCATGGATGATAGTGAGGAAAGATCAAAGAAGACAATACACAGGTGAGTAAGAGCAGGTCAGGTAGAGAAGCTCTCATTGCTGGAAGTAACCCATGTGGTCAGGGAGTAGGCACATCTCTGAGCTGTTGTTTGTAACTTTCCCTTCAAAGGCCCCAGCAAGGCCTGCATAGAAAGCCTGAAACTTGGGAGAAAGATAAATATCTCACCAAAATTTCCAAAGAAGCTTCACCTTTACCAATTTTATCATTCCCTCACCTTCTCATATTTCCCTGGTCATCTTATTAGGCCTGCTCTCTTTCCCAGTGCAGTATTTCAGCTATTATTTTGAATTTGACTGCTTTCAGCTCCTCTTCTACATTTAGATTTATTTGTATATTCTGAGGTGGTGATAACTGAGCAGAGATAAGAACAAGAAGGGATTAGGCTGTATAATTATATAGAACATTCCAGGCAGAGTGAATAACAAATTTGCATTACTTGAGGTGGAAATGAGCTTTGTGTGATTCAGGAGCAATGAGCAGAGTGGAACAGAATTAATGAGGGGAGAGTAACAAGAAAAAAGGGAGAATATCAGAAGGGACCAAGTCATGTATATTTTTTTGTTAATTATCAGGAACCTGGCTTATTTTCTAAAAGTGACTAGAAGCCATGATCTAATTTACATTTTTCTGATTTAAAAATTTTTAAAAATGAGATGAAGACTAGAAAGCCATGTTAAATTACACAGCTTAATGAGTTATTATAAAACAGATATCCTTAAAACATCAACCTGAGCAGAAGTAAAACATTTAAAAAATAATAATTTCAGGGGCACCTGGCTGGCTCAGTCAAAGAGTGAGCGACTCTTGATCTCGGGCTTGAGTTCAAGCCCCATGTTGGGTGTAGAGATTACTTAAAAATAAAATCTTTAAAAAAATAAACAATAATAATAAACTAATTAAATAAAAATAATTTCAGGCTTACAGAGAAGTTGCAGAATTCTACAAAGAATTTTCCTATTCTCTTCACCCAGATTCTCCACATGAGGAGATAAAACTTCTCCAACTCCCCTCGAGCCCTTTACCAGCTTCTACCTAATGACAACCCTTTTTTCTCTCTCTCCCTGATAGATCACTTCCAACCACATCCAACCTTACGAAGCACCCCAAACCTCGCTATTGGTTTCACTACCTCTCCTCCAATTAGCCTGCTAACCTTTTAGATGAATATCTACTGTTTATTTTGAGGTTCTCAGGTCTGCAGATACCTTCCATCGCTCCCCTCTGCTTTTTCCTGCACAGATGCATAGAGGATGGACTGAATGGGGACAAGGGTAAGAATGGGAAAAGCTGCCGTGAGGCCAATTCTGTAGTGCGAACTGGGGGGTGATGGTGGTTTGGATTAGAATGTTAGTGGTGGAAAGTGGTGAGAAGGTATGGCACTCGTAATGGATTTTGAACATAGAGCTAACAACATGCTGGTGAATTATAAATGGGGGTGGCGGCAGAAGGACATGAAGAAGGATGAGCAGGTTTTGAGTTGAGCAGGTGAATGGTGACAAACTACCTGAGATGGGAAAGAGAGAGAAAAGGCAGGATGGAGAACAAATCTAAACACGCGTACTTTGAATATGTGAAGCTTGAGATGGCTATTAGAAATGCTGATGAGGCTGTTGAATATGCACGCCTGAGCTCAGGGAGAGTATAGGCTCGCACTTGGCAGTTGGGTTTTATTGGCATATGGCTGGTGTTTAAAGCCAGGGGAGTGCGTGAGGTCTCCCAAAGAGCCAGTGCAGACAGAGGAGTCTCACGGTTGTGTCTGTCGGCGGGGCTGCACAAGAGACTGTTGAGAAGCACATTTTAAGGTAGAATTAAGTGGTACCACCAAAGACAAGTGAAGAGTATGTTTCAGGGCGGACGACTGATCACTGAAACAGGAATTAAAACAAGAAACGAGCAATGGCCTCAATATTTGACCTTCCCAGAAGGGGAAATCCTCAGTGGCATCAAGGAACGAAAGCCTGACAGGAGTGGTTTAAGCAGAATGGGAGTGAGTACCCCAGTTCTGTAGAGGCATTGCCTATGAAGAGATGGGGTTGGTTGGGACATGGGGTTACACCTGCATGATTGATGTCGGGAACGCTTCCACAGAGTGGTGAAAATGGAAGAATTAGGAGGAAATTATTGTGGAAGCAATGGCCTTCAGCTGGGCGGGTAAGATGGTGGAATTTTGTGCATAAGAGAAAACGGTGACAGTGGATGTGGATGTCGGTAACTTAATTGATATAGTAGAGGAATGAATATATATCTTTTTTGGGGGGGGGAACAGATGCCTTTTATTGGTCTAAGCAGCATAACTAGTGATAGGCTTGGGCAAAGCCCCCCCATGTCCTGGCTCCCAGCTTCCCTCTCTTGGGAGTTGGTGACTCACCCCCAGGGGAGAAGAGTGTTCTGGGCAGGGGTGGCAGAGAGAGCCAGGACAAAAAACACAGAGTTGGGATCTGAAAGGGTATCAGGGTGAAGGAGAAAACACAGGGTTACCAGATCATCCAAAAAAAAAAGTCCATCAGGGCAGAAGAGAGGATGCTTTCCCCACATGGGCCCCTCTGCCCTTGCCAGGAATGGGAGGGGGCAGGAAGCTTCTGCTAGAGATTTCCTACTGTGCCCTTCGTGCCATCAGCATCTCCCGGATGTTGTCCTCAGCTTCCTTCACACTCCGCTCCAGGTAGGATTTTTTCTGTTCTAATTCTTTAATTTTTTCTTCTGCTATTTTCTGTTTCTCTAACAGTTGATTGTGAATTGCCTCCTTGGACTGAAGAATAAACATTCTTCCTACACCTTCATACATGTGAGTCTCATCTACCAAAGTCATAATCTCTGTATCTGTAAGATGTGCATGCTTTTTCGTTCTGTTTAGCTGTTCAATCTGTATGTCTGCAAGCTTCACCTTCTGTTGAGTGTCAGTAACTTTGGCTTGAAGCTCTGTGAAGGCCTTCTTCAACTCCAGATCCACGGGAGCCGCCATCTTGGTTCACACTGAATATATATCTTTTATCTTGTGTTTTCTCAGAGCTATAAGAAGAAAAATGATTAACTGAAAATTAATGAGGGGAGGTATGAAATCTTTGTTGTTGAGTTTACTCATGCTATACTGACTTATTCCCTTTTTGATCATTGCCTCTTATGCAGACAGGGGTGGTGATAATAGCAGTTTCTTTATTGATTCTCTACTCTATGCCTGACACTGTTCTAAGCATTTTTTTTTTTAAAGATTTTATTTATTTATTTGACAGAGAGAATGAGAGAGAGAGAACACATGAGAGGGGATAGGGTCAGAGGATGAAGCAGACTCCCCGCCGAGCAGGGAGCCCGATGCGGGACTCGATCCGGGGACTCCGGGATCATGACCTGAGCTGAAGGCAGTCGCTTAACCAACTGAGCCACCCAGGCGCCCTGTTCTAAGCATTTTACACGTTATTGCCTTATTGATTCTCACGGCAACATTGTGAGACGTTTTTCAGATTGCTATCAGTATTTTATTATCTGAGGAAACTAAGACTTGGGATGATTAAGAAATTTTCCTAATTATAGAGCTAGTTCTTAGAACTAGAATTTAGACAGAGTTGGCTTATCTTTAATAATCACTGTGCCATTCTGCATTTGTATATTCTTCTTTTAACTGAAATGTATTGATTTAAACAAATATGTACAGGGTTCTTAATTGATGGATTTTATGTAACTCTTTATTTTGAAATAATTCCTAACCAGAAAATTTGTGAGAATAACACAGAACATACATGTAACCTTTACCTGGAGACTGTTAATATTTTATATATTTGCTTTTTATCATTCTCATTCTGTCCCTTTCCCTTGAAATGACTTCACCTTTACCCTAAATGTTTCAGTGTATATTTCTTTTTCCTTTTTTTCTTTTATTTATATTCTTTTATTTAGAGAGAGAGAGAGTGCACATGAGCAGGGGGAGGGGCAACGGGAGAGGGAGAGAGAGAATCCCAAGCAGACTTTGCTGAGTGCAAAGCCCAACTCCGGCCTTGATCTCACAGCCCTGAGATCATGACCTGAGCCAAAAACAAGAGCCAGAAGCTTAACCAACTGAGCCACGCAGGTGCCTCCTCACTGGTATCCTTTATAGAAAAAAAATAAAATTCAACCCAGTATCCAAGACAAAAATCATGAATTTCATTTAGTAGTCTTCTTACTTTAATCTCCTTTAATTTGAAAGAACTCCTTGGTCTCTCTTTGCCTTTTATGATCTTGGCACTTTTGATGAGTACATGTCTTTTGCAGATTGTTTCTCAATTTGAACAATGTTTCAGTTATTTATTCAGTGTGAGCCCAGGCATTCTTACTGTACTCAGTCAGTTGTAATCTTCTACTATCATTTTGATATTCAAATTGTCTCATATTTGGCAAACGGGAGCCTCTTCATGGTAGCCTCTGTGTCCTTTTTTACTTAAAAAAAAAAACCCTTATAATGAAATTTAGTTTTAATATGTGAGCTAGAATATGTAATTAAATGGCATTCACAACTTAGTAAAGAGCAGCTCTAGTAGGATATGGAGATGTAAGTGAGGGCAAGAGATGTAGACGCTGGAGTCTGCTGAGGAGGGATGGCCCAAGAGTGGCTGGGAAGGAGGAATGTCCTAGAAGAAGATGCAGCCTCCTAGCAGTGAAGAGAAGGCAGGAAGAAAGACATAGCATTCTTTTTGATAAAATGAAGGTCTTTTGCAACATTTCAAATACAGTTCTGTGGTTGAAAGTCATATAGTTAGGAACATGCACTAATTATTTTTCATTTAAAAAACAAACAGAAGAAATTTAGCTTCTTTTTAAAAAAGCTGATATAAGTTCTAATAGAAAATGTTCACGTTTGACGGGAAGGGGAAAGAAAAAGGAGAGAGGGAAACAAACCATAAAAGATTCTTAAAGATAGAGAACAAACTGAGGATTGATGGAGGGAGGTGGGTAGGGGATGGGCTAGACAGCTGCCGGGTATTAAGGAGGGCACTTGTTGTGATGAGCACTGGGTGTTGTATTTAAGTG